GTGGTTTCTTCAAGTTGATCAGGCTGACTTCTCAAACTCCTGACTTCAGGTGATCTGCCCGCCTTGGCCTCCCAAAGTGCTAGGATTACAGGCGTGAGCCACAGCACCTGGCCTTTAATTTCTTTTTTGCTGCTTTTATGAGATCTTTCCTATCTTTTAGTAGATGTATTCCAAATAGCATTACTTGGAAAATTTCACTGCCTGTGTGTCATAGGTGTATAGAAATTACTTATTTCCCCTTTTTTTTTTTTTTTTTTTAAGATGGAGTCTCGCTCTCTTGCCCAGGCTAGAGTGCAGTGGTGTGTTCTCAGCTCACTGCAAGCTCCACCTCCTGAGTTCACGCCATTCTCCTGCCTCAGCCTCCGAGTAGCTGGACTACAGGCGCCCGCCCCCACGCCCGGCTAATTTTTTGTATTTTTTAGTAGAGATGGGGTTTCACCGTGTTAGCCAGGATGGTCCCGATCTCTTGACCTTGTGATCCGCCCATCTCGGCCTCCCAAAGTGCTGGGATTACAGACATGAGCCACCAGGCCCGGCTGATACAATCATTTTAAACTTTCATATAAAGGTAGAATATATTCTATCCTCTGAGAAAATCATGCCTTTTATCAGTATTAATTGTGCCTAGAAAATTGTCTACCCATAATCACGCTTTGTGTCTTAAGATCCATTTGGCCTGGTATTGTTAATGTTTCGTCAGTTTTGTGTGTTCTGTTTTGTTTAAAAGGGATTAAGGTGTGCCTGATGTATTATTTCCCGTATTTAGAAAGTGAGTCTAAGGCCGGGCGCGGTGGCTCAAGCCTGTAATCCCAGCACTTTGGGAGGCCGAGATGGGCGGATCACGAGGTCAGGCTGTCTCTTATACACATCTAGATGTGTATAAGAGACAGAGCCAGGATGGTCTCGATCTCCTAACCTCGTGATCCGCCCACCTCAGCCTCCCAAAGTGCTGAGATTACAGGCGTGACCCACCATGCCCGGCCTCTTTTTTTTTTCTTTTTTTGGCGATGGAGTCTCACTTTGTCACCCAGGCTGGAGTGCCGTGATGTGATCTCGGCTTACTGCAACCTCCACCTCCCAGGTTCAAGTGATTCTCCTGCCTCACCTGCCCCCCCTCACCCCTCTCCCCGCCACCCCCTGAATAGCTGGGATTACAAGCACCTGCCACCACGCCTGGCTGATTTTTCTATTTTTAGTAGAGACACGGTTTCACCATGTTGGCCAGGCTGGTCTTGAATTGCTGACCTCAGGTGATCCAGCTGCCTCAGCCTCCCAAAGTGCTGGGATTACAGGCGTGAGCCACCAAGTCCAGCCACAATAAGATATTAAAAAAGAGAGAGACAGAATGCACACATTCACATAACTTTTACTACAGTATTCTGTTATAATTCTATTTTATTATTAGTTATTTTCATCTCTTACTTTACCTAATTCATAAATTAACTTTCACCGTAGGAAGGTTATCATAGGTAGGTACATATTATAGGTAGGGATAGGGAAAGACAGTACATATAGGTTTGGTACTCCGCACAGTTTCAGGCATCCACTGGGGTCTTGGAATGTATCCCCTGCAGATAAGGGGGGACTCCGTCGTCCTCACTCCTTGGGTATGGCCTGCGAGTCTCTGCTGGATGACCAGGGTGTTCCCGCTGGAGCTCAGATTCCCCAGCTCTGTGTATCCTCTGGAATCTTTGTCAGCCGTTGGCCTCCAGCAGCTGCCTGTGTGTGAATAGCTTGGTGCTCCAATGGCCTGGGGGACTTTCTCACAGACCCGGTGGCTCCGTCTTCTTCCCAAGCTCCAGCCCCCTTAGCAGCACCTAATTCGGACGCCCATTCGCTTCGCCCACCAATGCCTCTGCTTGGGCTCTATTGCCCTGCCTGTGGTTTGGGAAAGGACCCCAGGAAGAAGTGAAGGGAAGGCTCACCTCACATGCTTCTCTTCTCTGGAGGGCCTGAGCCCAGCATCCATCGCTGTCTCATGCCAGAAAATCAGGGGCTTCAGAAACGTTCTCCAGCGTTGATGATTCTCTGTGGCAGGAAGGGAAGTCTGACAGTGCCTTGCACCTGAAGTCCTTAAAGACCCCTTTAGGAGTTTGGGACTCACCCTGCAGGGATCTCAGAGGGCCACACCCAACTCCTCTCCAGGCCTCCGTTCCCCACTCAGGCCAATGCAGGGCTTTCCTGGAACCTGGAAGTGCTCCCTGAGTCCTCCTAGCCCTGGCTGGGATCAGAGAGGGGACCCGGAAGGAACTGGCCCCGAGTGTCCAAGTGCCTGGCTCCCCATTGCGTCCTGGCTAGGATGCTGGCAGCCCTTCCCCGGGCCGGCCACTGCCACTTAGCCAGGCTTCCGCCTCTGTCCCTGTTGGTTCCTAGCAGACTTTGTCCTTGTTTGGGAGGAGGACCTGAAGCTAGACTGGCAGCAGAACAGTGCCTCCCGGGACAGAACAGACACGCACAGGACCTGGCGGGAGACTTTTCTGGATAATCTTCGTGCGGCTGGGCTGCATGTAGACCAGGTACGTGGAGGCGGTCGTGGGCAAGGCCCTAGGCCCTGCATCCACTCGGTGACCCATTACCTTGCTGCATGAGGCCTGAGGGCATGGTGTCCAGAGCCCCAGAGCAGATCAGCCCCCCCGCCCCCCTGCCACCCACCATGGGGAGCTGCTGTCCAGAGGGCGGGGTAAACATGGATCCCTCCTGGCACACTCAGCTCTCTCATAGAGGCCGGAGCCCTCAGGGTCACCTGAAAACTCTCACACTACCTTTGCCATTCATGTGTCCTACTTCCAGCATTAAAGCTTTTGTGTAGTCTGCAGTACCAAGTGTTGAGAAGATACAAAGCAAGGGGCCTCAGGCCACTGCTGATGGTGGAAGTGGGGCCACCACATGGGGAGTGGTGTGGCCATCCACAAAACATCATTTGTGTTTATGACTCTCAGTGTGCTTATCGAATTAACAGCTTAAAAAGTCCTTTCACGTGTTTGTTTTCGGTGATAATGGGAGGTACCACTTAGAATCATTTAAGCAACAGGTCCAGGGAGCATGAGAAACAGGAACTAGGCATGAGGATGCTGGGTGTGTGGGCACAGGTGTGCACAGGCAGGGCTTGGGGCAGCTGGGGATTGGGGTGCAGAGCCCAGCTCTCACCCTGCTGTGTTCCCCGCTCATTGCCAGGTCTGTCCACGCGGCTCCTTCCTTCTCCGCCCTCCTCTGACCAGCTTCCTCTGTCCCTAGGAGCAGGCTGTGCTCTCACCTGTCCCCTCCCTCTCCACAGAGTAATCAATCTTGAGTTTTATGTTCATCATACTTGGGGTTTCTTTACCATTTTAGTGCCAATTTGATATCATCAAGCAATGCAGCCTGGCTTTGTCTGAGATTGGCAGAGCTGAATCACGGGCGGGGTCATGATTGCTGCTCCGGGCCCCGCCCTTGCCTTGCCGCAGGCAGCTGTGCGTGCGAATGCAGTCTTTGCTTATGGATGCTGTGAGAATGGGCATTTGAGTCATTCCCAGTCTGGGACGATTATGAAAATCAGCTACTGTAAATTCATTTGTGTGCGTGTGCACACGTGTCGTGTATCTCTGTGCCCGTGGGCGGGAACTGCTCCTGGGAGCAGGGGTGCTGGGCTGAGGCATGTGCAGATGGATGGCCACACCACTCCCCATGTGGTGGCCCCGCTTCCACCATCAGCAGTGGCCTGAGGCCCCTTGCTTTGTATCTTCTCAACACTTGGTACTGCAGACTTTTAAAGTTTTACCCATCAGTTGGGATGTGGTTGTGGCTCACCATGGCTTGTGTGCTTGTGTGTTTGTTTGTTTGTTTTTGAGAGAGAGTCTCGCTCTGTTTCCCAGGCTGGAGAGCAATGGTGAGATCTCGGCTCACTGCAGCCTCCACCTCCCGGGTTCAAGAGATTCTTTTACCTCAGCTTCTCGAGTACGTGGGATTACAGGCGTGGGCCACCATGCCCAGCTAATTTTTGTATTTTTAGCAGAGACGGGGTTTCACCATATTGGCCAGGCTGGTCTCGAACTCCTCACCTCAGGTGATCCGCCCGCCCCGGCTTCCCAAAGTGCTGGGATTACAGGTGTGAGCTACCGCGCCTGGCCTCAACCAGGTTTTAATTTGCATTTTCCCTGCTTCTTAAAGAAGTTGAGATTTTTGTTTAACTTTTACTTTAGGTTCGGGGGCACATGTGCAGGGTTGTTATATTGGTAAACTCATGTCACGGGGGTTTGTTGTACAGATGATTTCGTCACCCAGGTACTAAGCTTAGTACACAATAGTTATTTTTTCTGCTCCTCTCCCTCCTCCCTCAAGGAAGCCCCAGTGTCTGTTGGTCCCTTTGTGTCCATGACTTCTCATCGTTCGGCTCCCACTTCTAAGTGAGAATGTACAGTATTTGGTTTTCTGTTCTTGTATTAGTTTGCTAAGGATAATAGCCTCTAGCTCCATCCACATTCCTGCAAAGGGCATGATCTTGTTCTTTTTTATGGCTGCATAGTATTCCATGGTGCATACGTACCACATTTTCTTTGGCCAGCCCACCACTGACGGGCACTGAGGCTGACTCCACGTCTTTGCTATTGTGAATAGTGCTGCAGGTTGAGCATTTTTCACGTTTATGGTCCATTTATGTTTCCAATACTGTGAATTGCCTTTTTGTGTCTTTTGCTCTTTTTTCTATTGGGTCACTTGCCTTTTTCTTTTTTTTTCTTGAGACAGAGTTTTTTTGTTGTTGTTTGCTTTTTGTTTTGAGACAAAGTCTTGCTCTGTTGCCCAGGCTGGAGTGCAGTGGTGCGATCTCGGCTCACTGCAACCTCCACCTCCCGGTTTCAAGCAATTCTCTTGCCTCTGCCTCCCAAATACCTGGAAATACAAGGCACCTGACACCATGCCTGGCTCATATTTGTATGTTTAATAGAGACAAGGTTTCACCATGTTGGCCAGGCTGGTCTCAAACTCCTGACTTTGTGATCGACCTGCCTTGGCCTCCCAAAGTGCTGGGATTATGGGCGTGAGCCACCGTGCCCGGCCTAACGAGACAGGGTCTTGTTCTGTTGCCCTGGCTGGAGTGCAGTGGTGCAGTCACGGCTCATGGCAGCCTCAATCTCCCAAGGCTCAAGGCTCCAGCCATCTCCCCAGCTCAGCCTCCTGAGTAGCTGGGACTACAGGCCCACACCACTGTGCCCGGCAAATTTTTTGTATTTTTTGTAGAGATGAGGTCTCACTTTGTGGTCCTAGCTGGTCTGGAACTCCTGGGCTCAAGCAGTCTGCCTGGCTTAGCCTCCCAAGTCACCTGCCTTTTTTTCTTTTTTTTTTTTTTGAGACAGGGTCTGACTCTGTCACCCAGGCTGGAGAGCAGTGGTGCGATCTCGGCTCACTGCAACCTTTCTCTCCTGGGTTCAAGTGATTCTCCTGCCTCAGCCTCCTGAGTAGCTGGGATTACAGGTGTGTACCACCATACCTGGCTAATTTTTGTATTTTTAGTAGAGATGGGGTTACCCCATGTTGGCCAGGCTGGTCATGAACCTCAAGGGATCTGCCTGTCTCAGCCTCCCAAAGTGCTGGGATCACAGGCATGAGCCACCACGCCCGGCCTCACCTGCCTTTTTCTTATCAAGGCTTAGGAGCTTTTTGTCTGTTCTGGCTACTTAGCCACTGCTGGTGGTGTGTGTGACAGACACCTTTCCCCGGTCCTGGCTGGCTCTCGTGGTCATGATGGTGTCCTGGTTGGTTTTAACCTGCTGTGGACTGAGTTAGTCCTGCGTCCGACTCCCCTCCGCCTTCTGTGCCTTTCTTCCCTCACCCGCCTTCTCATTCCCACGTTTCCTACTCCTTGTCCAGAACACGCAGGGAGCAGCCCCCACTTGCCGCATCCCCCCAACCCCATGCTGCCAGCCCCGCTCTCCCTGGCTTCCTTCCGGGGCCTTCTCAGGTGTTGGCACATGGAGCCCACAGAGCTAATGGCCCCTCACTCCCGAGTTTGGATCTGCTTCGGTGTCTGGGAGGTGGAGGTGAAAGACACCTGCTTTTATTATGCACAGAGCTAATTGGGTGATGTGGTCCCATGAGTTTTCAAGGTCATCATCCAGACATGGGCAGGTTTGCCCTTTAGTTGAGGGCAGTGGGGACTACTGCAGGGGACGCCGGTGGCTCCAGCACGTTGCCCAAAGTGTGCCTGGTCTTCGGTCTGCAGGACAATTCTCAGCTCTCAGCGCACATCACAGCCAGCCGGGGGCCCGGGCCTGCCCTTGACTCTGTTCCATTTCGCCTAAGTTGGGGCCGGGGCTTTGGCACGTGGGGAACCCCAGATGGCTGTGAGGGCTGAGGGCCACTGGACTAAAGGGGGTGGTGCTGAAAAGCAGTTTCGCACTCAGAGGAGGCACTTGTCCACTGGACTGAAGATCCCTGTCTCAACCCACCCCGGGCTCCAGGAGCGTCTGTCACATGTTGGCACACACGTGCACATGTGAACATAGATAGTGCCCACCCATATGCACACACACACACACGCAAACGTGTCCGTGCACAACGTGCATGGACACCTGGTGACTGATCAAAGGTGAGGCGACTGTTCATTGTTGAAAATCAAAAGCTGGAGGTGCTGCCCCTCAAGCCGGGAGGCGGGCGTGGGTCAGCGTGGTCTGGCCAGCAGGGCGAGGCTCTCCCTAGCCTTAGGGGAGGCTGCAGGTGATGCCAGCCCCAACAGCGTGCTGTCCGCAGCGAATCTGTCGCTGGGGCCGACTCCCCAACGGGGCTGTCGAGGCCTGGTTAGCTTTCAGAGGCGTGTCCACGGGAGCAGGTGTCATGTATCAAATAGGAGATTCAAAGTCAGGTGTTACCACGGGTACGGAAATGCCAGTGTTTTCCTAAGAGTGCGAATGGACACACACGTGCACCCTCAGGCTCTCACGGAGCCCTGGGTGCCTGCAGCACGACGTCCAGGACGGGAACACCACAGTGCACTACGCCCTCCTCAGCGCCTCCTGGGCTGTGCTCTGCTACTACGCCGAAGACCTGCGCCTGAAGCTGCCCTTGCAGGTACGCGGGAGGCATGGGGACAGGGTGGGCCCGGAGGTCCCCCCAGCCAGGGTTACTGGTGACTGGTCCCCACACACTGCATCCAGCTGCCAATGCCGACAGCCTTGGGAGGGCTCCTCTTACCCACCCCAACACCAGACCCCAAAAAACATCACCGGGCAAACAGGGCAGGTGGTGGCATCCCCCATGGTGGGTTCGCGGGAGATGGGGTTGGGTGAACAGTGTGTGTGCACTGAGCTCCAGGCCCAGACCCCCACCAGGCCACCTGCTGAGGGCCCAGCCTGTGGACGTGGGGTGGAGAAGGCTGGCTCCAGGTGACCTCAGGGACCTGGACCATCTTGGGTCTGGACGTGGGTCCACCACCCACCGTACTGGCTGGCCTGACCCTCACCGCTGCGGGCGGCAGACACACTACTCACCAGTTCCCGTCCCTTTTCCACTTGAGGGGCTCTGGGCTACAAACTGACAAGCTAAGTGGCCTCGGAGCCTGAGGCCCTGAGAAGGGAAGGGGTTCTCCTGGGCCCTCCCAGGGTCTACCGCGCTCCTTCCCTCTGCTGGAGCCCCTTTGCCCACTGCCCAGTTTGCAAACTTGCACAGCCTCCACTCCCACGTGGGGCGTTTGCCTCTCCGCAGTGGGAGGAGCCACGGACATTTCCTTCCAGGAGTTACCCAACCAGGCCTCCAACTGGTCGGCCGAGCTGCTGGCATGGCTGGGCATCCCCAATGTCCTGCTGGAAGTTGTGCCAGACGTGCCCCCCGAGTACTACT